GTGCGCAGATAGGGTCCGCAGGTGGGGAGACAGGGGCTGGGCAGGGTGGTTCTGGAAACTGAGGCTGGAGCGGAGCAGGGGTGCTTGGGGAAGGGGGATGCGGGAGCCCCCGCGCGCGCACGCGGCTCGCTCACCTGGCGACTGCAGGGAGGGCGGAGTCCGCTGCAGAGCGCGGACACAAAGCCGGGGCCCCGCGTGGGAGGGACGCGAGGCCCGGGCGCGGGGCGCGGGCTCTTTGTCTGCTCTCCGGGCACACCGCTCGGGCCCCGCCCCGGCCCCGCCCCCGGCTCGGGCGCCTCCGCCTCCGGTTCTGCGGGTCCCAGGGTCTCCGGCCCCGCCGGGGACGGCGATCCGGGTTCCTACCTTGCCCCTTGCGCGCGCCCTCTGTGCGCCTTGAGCGCGCACGATCAGTCTCGGGGACCTAGGGATGTGCGGCGGAGTGTGGGGAAGGCGGGGCCCCGCGGCCCCCAGTCGTCTCCCCGCTTCTCAGGGCCGCCGAGTCCTTGGCCCCCACGTCTTCTGTGCCCGCGGCTCGCTGGAGTCGGTTTCCATGGTGAGGTCCCTGGGCGCCTGAGCAAAAAGAGACAAAGACACCGGGGTGGAGGGGCTGCCCTCCCCTCCTCCTCTGCCCTCGTCCCCGCCCCTCCTCTCCGCCGTCCAACCTCCAGGCCCGCCTCACCCTCCAGACCCCTCACAGCTAGTCCCTTGAGGATAAATGATGGCAATGTGCACTTACGCAGCGCTTGCTGTTTGCAAACGTTTCCCGCTCTGCCCAGACAGCCCTGCAAGGTAGCCACTGGTTGACCCCACCCCATCCCAGATGGGCAAACTGAGGCCCAGAGAAGCCAGGAAATCATTCTATCGGTATAATGAGTAAGCTATCTACTGAGTGCTTACTGTATACCAGGCCTTTCACAGACACTTGTGACCCCCTGGCTACACAGTAAGACCTTGTCTTCAAAGAAGAATTGAAGAGAAGAGGTGGGGGGAGGCGGCTGGGGAGATGCCTCAGTCTGTGAAGTGGTTGTGTTACAAGCACGAGGACCCGAGTTTGAATCCCCAGCGCCCACATAAAAAGCCAGCCAGAGTGTCATAGCTAACCCCAGCGCAGCGTGGATGATCCCCGATTCTCACTTCATCAGCAAGCCAAAGAGACTGTCTCCAAACACGAGGTAAAACTGGGGATGGCTGTGTACATCTGTAACTTCAGCCACTTGTAGGGCAGAGGCAGAGGGATTCCATGAGTTCCCGGCCAGCCAGCGCTACATCTTAAGACTCTGTTTCAAAAAACAAAACTGAAGTGGACAGCTCAAAGGACACGTGAGCTTACGGGCACCCATGCACAAAATAAGAAAAGGAAAATAAGCCCAAGGCTCATCTGAATGGGGCACGGAGGGCTGCATCCATTGAGCACCTACTGTATGCACCCTGCTCTGCTCCCACACAGCCCTCCCCACCCCGCCTGCTCCTGCACTCCCCTGCCAAACTGACTCCTGTTTTCTCAGACTCAACCTCGACCCACGTTCTCAGAGTTTCCCTGTGGAAACAGCAAGCTCTCCAGGCCTGGTGGCCACACACAGCAAATGCTCCTGCCCCACAGAGATGCCCTGTACGAAGCCCGGCATGCCAGCGTGGTGGTGTGCCACTCTTGGGCAGATGAGGCAGGAGAATTGCTGTGAGCTTCAGTATATCCTGGGCTACAGAGCTAGACCCTATCTTAAAAAAAAAAAAAATTGGTGTAGTGGTCCAAGCCTGTCGTTCCCACACGCAGGAAGACGAAGGAGGATTACTGTGAGTTCCAGGCTAGCCTGGGCTACATAGTCTCAGGTCAGCCTGGACTGCCAAGTCAGACTTTGTCTCAAAAACAAACAAATGAAGTAACTCACACCTTTAATCCCGGCTCTCCGGAGGCAGAGGCAGGCAGAGCTCTGAGTTCAAGGGCAGCCTGGGCTACAGAGTGAGTTCCAGGTCAGTTCTTTTTTCAAAAAAGGCAAATAAATAAAGACAGAGAAGATGGTAAAAGTGGTCCACGCAGGGTCAAGGGCATCACCGTCCACCAATGTCCAGGGAGAGGGGTGGACGAATCCCCTGGGAGCAGCCCTTGGCCACAGTTCCTTGGTCACAGGGCACAGGTAAGTCCCATTCAGTTGTGACGCTGTCCCAGCTTTAGGGACCGAGTGGGGAGAAGCCCAAAGAGGGGCACAGAGACCTAGACAAGCCCTGGGCCTCAGTTTCCCTGGCAGTAGGGGAGGAGCTGGGGTGACCTTTGCGGAATTCTAGTGTTGAAAGCAGGCCCCTAACTGACGTCTGGGGAGAAGGAGGAAGCTGTGGTAACCACTGTGGCCTGCAGGGCATGAGCTGGGGAGGGGTACGTTGGGTCTTCCAGAGTGGGATCTCCACGTGGAGATGGGGAAGGCAGTGCCTGGTGGACCTATGGCCTAGCTGAGGAGAAGGTCAGAATGTCAATCAGGGACTGGGGAGCCATGGGTGGCTTAAGAGCAGGGGCAGGTGGCTGGGTGTGACACCTTAGACCTCTGCTGTAATTCCTACATCCAGGAGGCTGGAACCGGAGGACCCAAGTCCATAAGTCCTAACCCCAGCCCTCAGGAGACAGAGGCAAGCATCTCTCTGTGAGTTCAGGGCCAGCCTGGTCTACATGAGACCCTGTCTCAAAATGGTCAGGAATGGAATAGACAGATCTCAGAGGTCCACTCAGCCCTCACCAGGACATGACACTTTGTGGCTCCTGAGCCTGGCATGAGACAGAACCAGATGGAGGGTCACCAGGCATGCTCCCTGAAGAGCAGAAGATGCTGGTGGCGGCATCGGGTCCTGAGCCCAAGCGGGTCGAGACCCCGAGGAGCTGCAGAGGCTGCCATTGCTCTGAACCAACGCTGGGCCCGGGGTCATCCCAGCCTCGGTGTTGTGTAAGAGGTCTGGGAACAGAGAGGCAAGTCCCGGAAGCCCGCGGACCTCTGCCAGCGAGGCTGCGTTTCACAATGAAGCCACACAACCTTTCCATTTTTATTTTTCCAGTCTGCCAGGTCTGTGGTTTCTTTCTCTCCGTGTGGTTTATTCTTTTAACTTAATTTAATTAATTCACTTCTTTATTTGTGGGCCGTCGAGATGGCTCAGTGGGAAAGGTGCTTGCCGCCAAACCCTATGACCTCAGTTCACTACCGGGAACTCACATGGTGGGAGGAGAGAACTGACTTCTGAGAGATGTCCTCTGACCTACACACACACACACACACACACACACAGAGACACACAGAGACACACACACACAGAGACACACACACAGACACACACAGACACAGACACACAGACACACACAGACACAGACACACACACACACACAGACACAGACACACACACAGACACACACACACACACAGAGACACACAGACACACACACAGACACACAGACACACACACAGACACACACACACACAGACACACACACACAGACACACACACACACACAGACACACACACACACACACACAAACACACACACACAGACACACACACACAGACACAGACACACACACACAGACACACAGACACAGACACACACACAGACACACACACAGACACACACACAGACACACACACACAGACACACACACAGACACACATAGACACACACACAGACACACACACACACAGACACACATAGACACACACACAGACACACACAGACACACACACACACAGACACACACACAGACACACACACATAGACACACACACAGATACACACACAGACACACACACACAGACACACACACACACAGAGAGACACACAGACACACACACAGACACACACACACACACACAGACACACACACACACAGACACACACACAGACACACACACATAGACACACACACAGACACACACACAGACACACATACACAGACACACACACACACACAGAGACACACAGACACACACACAGACACACACACAGACACACACACACACACAGACACACACAGACACACACACACAGACACACACACAGACACACACACATAGACACACACACAGACACACACAGAGACACACACACACAGACACACACACACAGACACATACACACAGACACACACACACACAGAGACACACACACAGACACACACAGACACACACACACAGACACACACACACAGACACAGACACACACACACACAGACACACACACAGACACACACACACAGACACAGACACAGACACACACAGACACACACACACACACAGACACACAGACACACACACAGACACACACACACAGACACAGACACACACACACACACACACAAACACACACACACAGACACACACACACAGACACAGACACACACACAGACACACACACAGACACACACACACAGACACACACACAGACACACACAGACACACATAGACACAGACACACACACACAGACACAGACACACAGACACACACACAGACACACACAGACACACACACACAGACACACACAGACACACATAGACACAGACACACACACACAGACACAGACACACAGACACACACACACACACACACACAGACACACAGACACAGACACACACACAGACACACAGACACAGACACACACACAGACACACACACAGACACACACACACACAGACACACATAGACACACACACAGACACACACAGACACACACACACACAGACACACACACAGACACACACACATAGACACACACACAGACACACACACAGACACACACACAGACACACACACAGACACACATACACAGACACACACACACACAGAGACACACAGACACACACACAGACACACACACACACAGACACACACAGACACACACACACACAGACACACACACACAGACACACATACACAGACACACACACAGAGACACACAGACACACATAGACACACACACAGAGACACACACACACACACAGACACACAGACACACACACACACACACCACACACACCACACACAGACACACACACACAGACACACACACACACACAGAAATGCAAGAGGAAAGTATGAATTTTGGTAGTACTGGGGTGGAACCCAGGGCCTCTCACATGCTAGGCAAACACACCATTAGCTATATCCAGCATTCTATGGGTTTGGACTATCTTATAATAAATGAATAGATTTGGCCTGCGATCCCAGCACGTGGGAAGCGGAGGCAGGAGGATTGCTATGAGTTCTGGGTTTTAATAAAGGGATTTAATAAAGGGGAGTGGATGGGAACAGGGCTAGGAGATGGCTGGGGGTGGGGGTGAAGTGCTTGTGGCGAGGGCTGGAGTTCTGGTCCCCAGAACCTGCCCCCCCGCCCCCTCCCCCGCACACACCAGATGAAAAGCCCTACAGTGAGGCAGTCTGCTTGTATTTCCAAGTGTGTGTGGGAGGAGGGCCAGCAAAGACAGGGATCCCCTACCCCCACAACCAGCAAGCTGGTGAGTTATCTGACTGGAGCCATAGGGAGAGCCCCTGCCTCGGGATATAAGGTGAGGAAAACAGCTTGTGTTGACCTCAGGCCTCTATATGCGTGCCTGTGCAAAAAAATAAAAATAAATTTATATATATAGAGAGAAACAAACAGGAAAAAGTTAAACTTATTTAAAGAAAGAAAGAAAAGAATAGGAAATTATCCCAGTACGAAAGCACACACCTGTCATTCCGGCACACAGGAGGCTGAGGCAGGAGGATCAGGAGTTCAAGGTCATCCTTGGCTATGTGGTGAGTTCAGGGCAATCTGGGATGCATGAGAGATTGCTTCAAATGAACACACACACACACACACACACACACACACACACACACACACACACACACACTACCACATTAAGGAGAAATAATGAACTCCCAAGAGAAAACCCAGGCAGGAAATAATGGATCGGGTCACAGCCTGGTGGTGTCACTCAAGGCCTCTTCCAGGACCCTCAGCATGCGGTGGGTGGCAGCTGGCCTCCCATTCCTCCAGAAGGACCCCTGCATCCTGCCTCACTGAAAACTCTCCTGGGCCCCCACACTGGAAGGAGGAAGTGGGGCCCCCAGCCTGGCCTTCAGCCACCGTTCAACGGCTCCCCACAGAGCTGGGCTATAAGAGGGACCCAGCAAGCAGGGGGCCAGGAGCCTGGCCATGGCCGGAAGGCACCGATCCCCCAGCCGGGTCCATCCCTTCCTCCTGCTCGCCCTGGTCTTTGGTGGTGAGTGGGGCCCTGTTCCTCAACCAGCATCCTCCTGGCACAGCTGGGAAGACCAAGGCACCCCCTGGATAAACGCTTGGGAGGGGAAAGATGAAGAAGGAGAACCCTAGGCATTCTGACTCAGTTTCCCTTCCATTTATGGTTCTTTTTCAGACAGGGTCTCATGCAGCCCAGGCTGGCCTTAAACCCACTTTATAGCCTATGGATGATGACTTTGAACTTCCCATTCTCTGTCTCGCCTCCCCAGTACTAGGGTGGCAAGCTTCCGCCACTAGGCTGGGTTTCTGTGGTGCTGGAGATGGATCCCACAGCTTTGTGCAAGCTGAGAGGAGAGCGCTGCCCACTGAGCCGCACCCAGCGTCAGCGCCTTGACCGGTTTTTCTTAGAAATCTCTATTACTGTGCCACCCAGAGGCCCTCACTGTAGGGGAGGGATTTCTAGGGAATCCAGAATTACAGAAGCCGGGTTTAGTGGCGCACACCTTTGATCCCAGCACTCGGGAGGCAGAGGCAGGAGGATCTCTGTGAGTTCGAGGACAGCCTGGTCTACAGAGTGAGACACTGTCTCAATACAAAATGATAACCATAGATTTAAGCCAGGCCCCCCAACTCCTCCCCAGGCACGGGTCTCCCTGAGGCCATAGAGCAGACTGTGGCTCTCAGGAACCCTCAGGCTGTGGTGCTCCTGACACTTTCCTCCCCCAGGCCCAGTCCAGGCCTCCAAGATCGTGGGTGGGCGCGAGGCTCAGCCCCACTCTCGGCCTTATGTGGCATCCCTGCAGCTGAGCAGGTCCCCTGGGAGCCACTTCTGTGGTGGCACGCTGATCCACCCGAGATTCGTGCTGACGGCTGCCCACTGCCTGCAAGACATGTGAGTACAGCGGCCAGTGGACAGTGAGGGCCTTTAGGTCTGCGGGCACAGCCCTGGCTGAGTGCCATGGTCGCTTCCGCTTCCAACCCTCTCCTTCCATAGGAGCCTCAGCTCTTTCCCAATTTCTTCTCTAGGAGACCACAACAATGCATTCCTCTCACCTAGACTCCCCCAGTGAGGGTGGGGGCGTGGTCAGGGTGGAGCCCTGCCTAGAACCCCCCAGTGAGGGGCTGGGGGCGTGGTCAGGGTGGAGCCCCGCCTAGAATCCCCAGTGAGGGTCTGGGGGCGTGGTCAGGGTGGAGCCCCGCCTAGACTCCCCCAGTGAGGGTGGGGGCGTGGTCAGGGTGGAGCCCCGCCCAGAATCCCCAGTGAGGGGCTGGGGGCGTGGTCAGGGTGGAGCACTTGGTAGCGTGTAAGAGGGCCTGGGTCCCTGCCACAAACATAACCCCACGACCCCGGCCCGCAGCCCCTGGCAGCTGGTGACGGTGGTGCTCGGTGCCCACGACCTGCAAAGCCAGGAGCCTGAGCAGCAGAAATTCACCATCACTCAGGTCTTCCAGAACAACTACAACCCCGAGGAGAGTCTCAATGACGTGCTGCTCGTTCAGGTAGGCACGTAAGGTGCACCTCCCGTATGCCACGCTGCGGCCATGGAGCTGTCTGTCATAGTGTGGGGCTGGGGTCTGTCCCTCAGCTTCTGCCCAAGCTGTGTTTCCCGCCTGGTGCACTGGGTGGCGGGCGGGGGTTAGGGCTAGGATCAGAGCTGAGGCTAAGTTCTGGTCACTGTTAGGGTCAGGGTTATGGTCAGGGTTTTCATGCAAGGGGAAACTGAGGCCGAGGTAGGGCCTGGGTCAGGCTTAACGCAGGCTATACCTCACCGCCTGGTACCTTCACTGTCCCCACGCTGTACAAATCAACAGCTCTCCCCGGAGAGTTTGGCCTGAGGAGCTGGGACTTTCACCAGCGACGCTGTGAAGTTCCGTTTGCTGCTCCCGGTGTGCTCGGCCGGAAGTGGTTGCTCTCTAAGCGCAAAGGCCCGAAGGAGATGTCAGGGTCCCGGGGTGGCGGGAGGGTCCGAGGCCTCACCTCTTCTTTTCTGCAGCTGAACCGGCCAGCCTCCCTGGGCGAGAAGGTGGCGGTGGCCTCTCTGCCCCAGCAGGACCAGTCGCTGTCCCAGGGCACCCAGTGCCTGGCCATGGGCTGGGGCCGCCTGGGCACCCACGCGCCCACGCCACGCGTGCTGCAGGAGCTCAACGTCACGGTGGTCACCTTCCTGTGCCGGGATCACAACGTGTGCACGCTGGTGCCGCGGCGGGCCGCGGGCATTTGCTTCGTGAGTGCGGGGCTAGCTCGTGGGGGCGGGGCCTGGGGCGGGGGCGGGGCCTGGGGCGGAGCCTTGGTGGAGTCTATGGCGGGGCGGGGCCTGGGGCGGGGCGGAGCCTTGGTGGAGTCTGTGGTGGGCGGGGCCTGGGGTGGGGCGGAGCCTTGGTGAAGTCTATGGTGGGGCGGGGCCTGGGGCGGGGCGGAGCCTTGGTGGAATCTATGGTGGGGCTGGGGCGGGGTCCGTGATGGGGCGGGGCGGGGCCTTGGTGGAGTCTATGGTGGGGCGGGGCCTGTGGTGGAGTCTATGGTGGGGCAGGGCGGAGTCTATGGTGGGGCGGGGCCTGGGGCGGAGCCTGGGGTGGGGTCTATGGTGGGGCAGGGCGGAGTCTATGGTGGGGCGGGGCCTGGGGCGGGGCGGGCCTGCGGGGCGGAGTCTCTGATAGAGCTTGAGGTTCGGTATTGGGATGTGGGACCTCTGGCCGGGGACGGGGCTCGGGGAAGGACGCGCACGTCCCGGAGATGGGGATGCCTGGGCTATGGGAGGGCTTTGTTCCCAGGCGGGTGAGCTGGAGGGCGGAGCCGGGGGGTGTCTGCGGGATAGGTGGGTGTGAGGGAGAAAGTTGGGGGTCTGAACGTGGCCCCGCTGCCGGCCTGTTCCGTTCTGGCCCTTGGTCTCTACCCCTTGCAAGCACGGTTGTGGGAAGCCCCGTGCGGGGTCCGGCCGCGGGCCCCTGCGACGGAGCAGACGCTCTTTTGTCCTTGGCACCTGTGTGTCTCGTCTCTTTTGGACCCACGCAGACTGAATCCAACCGGAAGCTACTAAATGCCTGCTGGTCATCCCGTGGGACTCTTCCCCACGTCGCCTCATCCCGCTGACTTCTGTCAGCATGGGGATTGATCCCTTTTCTACCGCAGGGAGACTCGGGCGGCCCCCTGATCTGCGATGGCATTCTTCACGGAGTCGACTCCTTCGTGATCCGCGAATGCGCCTCCCTCCAGTTCCCCGACTTCTTCGCCCGGGTGTCCATGTACGTGGACTGGATTCGCACGGTGCTGCGGGGCGCAGAGCCCTGAGCTGCCCTTCTGCGCCCCAGAAGTCTACCCTGGGCGACCTGCAAGCTCTGGCAGGAAAATCTGGAGTGGGGTGGTCCCTTCTGGGTTTTTCCTCCAGCTAGACCACCCGCGCACCCTCTGGAGTGGAGACAGCTCCGTCCCCTATTCCATGTGACCTTAATAAAGCTGAGAAGTCTTTAAAAGCTGTCTCCTGTCTGTCTTACCCGTGTGGACCTGGGATGTGGTCAGGGCCTCCGTGTCGGAGGTGGGGGGATCCACCATGCAGGAAAGAAAGGGGTGGAGGGCCAGGCTCATTCCCGAACCACAGGGGCTGGATTCAGCAACCCCTTTTGCTTCTCACCTCTTTGCTCAGTTTCCCCAACTGGAACTGGGATGAGGAAGCGTGGCTTGTGGGGTTTGGAGAAGTGTCCCCAGCTCCAGGTTTCTTGCAGCCATGGGCGCGCACTGGGCTTCTCGGGGCCTGATGGTTGTGGTCCAGTCAAAGCAGACAGGAGGACTTCCTGGTGGAGGAGGCGGGGTGGACAGCGTTGGGAAATCCAGGAGCAAGGAGGAGGGACCCGGGGGCAGGGCACAGCGAGGCCAGAAGAGCAAGGGGCAGACATGGAAGCATGCGGTTTTCCCCATCGACAGAGAAGTGAGCCTGGGCCAGCACAGGGAGAAGGGAAGGCAATCACCAGCCAGCCCTGGAGGGGCGAGAGGGGGGTGGTGTCCCCACGGGGCCTTCAGAAGTGGGAGGTGGCTGCTCTTTGACTTATTTTGGTGCCCGGTCCACAGGCACCAGAGTCCACAGGATTCTAATGTTGCTTTAGTTTTGGGAGACAGTCTCACGTAGCCCAGGCTAGCCTCTAACTCCCTATGTAGCTGAAGATGACCTCGAACTCTTGATCCTTCTACCTCCCCCTCCAGAGTTCTGGGCTGACAGGTGTGCACCCCAGAGAGCGTGCTGCCCACTGAACCCCAGACTCAGCCTCGTTTCTTTTTCCTTTTTTTGTTTTTCGAGACAGGGTTTCTCTGTGTAGTTTTGGTGCCTGTCCTGGATCTCACTCTGTAGACCAGGCTGGCCTCAAACTCACAAAGATCCGCCTGCCTCTGCCTCCCGAGTGCTGAGTGCCACCACGGCCCGGCCAGCCTCTTTTCAATCCCCCCTCAACACCCGCAGAGTGGTCCCCAATGTCTCAGCACTGTATAGGGACTGTTTCTTTTTTTCTTTTTCTTTTTTTTTTTTTAGATTTATTTCTTTATTATGTATACAGTGTTCTGTCTGCACGTATCCCTGCAGGCCAGAAGAGGGCACCAGATCTCATTACAGATGGCTGTGAGCCACCATGTGGGTACTGGAATTGAACTCAGGACCTCTGGAAGAGCAGTCAGTGCTCTTAACCACTGAGCCATCTCTCCAGCCCCTAGGGACTGTTTCTTGTGGAGATGCTGCTGGGCATCTGGGGACCTGAGGACACTAAATGGAGGTCAAGGAAGAACCTGAGCTGCAGAAGGGTTCCTTCAGGGCCTGGCATTCCACAGCAGGGGACTGGCACTATGAACTCAAAGGCAAACTTAACCCGCACAGCACGGGTGAGCATGGTATGCAGGTGGTGCTCAATAAGTGTAGCCGTGGTGAAGTCTGGTCTCCTAATCTGAGACTGTTTGCCCTGCACCCACTGCCATGTGACGAGGGACGGTGTATACAGTAGGTGCTCACTGTGCGGAAGGAAGGGAGTTCAGTTAGGGTGTGTCTGAGTGAGTCAGGGAGTGCCCAGCTCGTGTGGGGGAGAGAAGGCAGCTGTCCCCACTGGGGTCCCAGGGACAGGTCTCCAGCCTAGCGGATGTTGAGCCCTGGCACCCTGGCCACCTGCCCGTGTCCGTTAGGTTTCACCCCCTATGCCCTGTCCTGGAGTTGAGACGTTGGTTTTGCAACAAACAGCCTTGGCTGTGGCTCCTGGAAGAGATGGGAGGGGAGCTGGCCACAGAGTGGGGGGCTGGGCCCCGAGCCTGTCGCCATTGTGGGAGAAGAGTGCTCCCCCTGTGTGGCTCCAGATGGGAACTCACACTCAGGCCACTGTGGAGGATAGCAGTTCCTTCTCATTGATGGGGTCAGGTGGGACTGAGTCCCCCACTGTGAGGAGCAACCAACAAATTAGGGCTGAGCTGCTGCAGTGCGAACCCCAGGCTAAAATGACCTGTTGTAGCCTGGTGGCGGTGGCGCACACCTTTAATCCCAGCACCCGGGAGGCAGAGGCAGGCGGATCTCTGTGAGTTTGAAGCCAGCCTGGTCTACAGAGTGAGATCCAGGACAGGCTCCAAAACTTAACAGAGAAACCCTGTCTCGAAAACCCCCCCCCCCAAAAAAAATGACCTGTTGTGCTGGGCATGGTGGTGCACACCTTTAGTCCCAGAGCTGAGGAGGCAGAGGCAGGTGGATCTCTGTGAGTTCCAGCCAGCCTGGGTTACAGAGTGAGACCCTGTCTCAAACACACATATGCTCACCTGTCACTGGGTGGGCAGAGCATCCATGTCCCTCAATTTTTCTGACGTAAGTAAGGATCCAGCCAGCCATTTTCTGTCACCCCAGGAAAAAGTCAGGCTGGTACCAGACCCTTTGACAACTCAATACACTTATGTGTTGCTGTTGTTACTATACCTGAGGTAAACTGAGGCAGACAGATTGGCCCTCAGATATAAGTGGCTGGATACAGGGGCACCACGCTGGGCCTGGCTGTGCATACCTGTCCTCCGAGCACTCGGGAGGTACAGGCAGAGGAATTAAGAGTTTGAGGCCAGCCTGGGCTACCTGAGATTCTATTTTACTTTATTTTTGGCTTTTTAGAGACAGGGTTTCTCTGGGTAGCCCTGGCTGTCCTGGAACTTGCTCTGTAGACCAGGCTGGCCTCAAACTCATAGAGATCCACCTGCCTCTGCCTCCCGAGTGCTGGGATTAAAGGTGTGTGCCACCACCGCTCAGCCCTGAGGTCCTATTTTTTTAAGAAGGAAAAGGAAGGATGACTTGCTGAGTTTCCATTGATATTGAGCATCAGGAATGAGGTTGAAGTGGGGACCCTGGGGGCACACAGCTCTCCACGTCACCCCCATCGTCCCGTTCCCAGGGAGGAAGTGAGGCTGTGGCTGGCATGGGGCAATACAACGGTCTCTGCCTGCAGCTATAAGTACGGCTGTTAGGTAGGGGCGTGGGGAGCCACCAGAGCACAGCCCCACCATGACCCTCCGCCGATCATCCAGCCCGACTCTGGCTCCCATGCTGCTGGCCATGCTCCTGGGTGGTGAGTGCGGATGGACACACATCCACCCCACTGACCACTTGTCCATCTCCATGTTCTTTCCCCGCTTCCGCCAGGACCTTAGAAAAAGACACAGAGGTTTCTAGCGGCAAGGCCACTTCCAGGAAATGGGGATTCCAAGCCCGGAGGAGGTGCTTGGGTCTCAAGTCCAGGAGCACCCTGGGCAGGTCCCTTATCCTCTCTGCCTCAGTTTCCCTCACTAACCTTGTGAGTTCTCATTGAGGATTCGAACAGTTTGGTGGCTGGGGCTCACTCTTCCTCTCTGTGTGTCCCTAGGCCCAGTGCTGGCCTCAGAGATTGTGGGTGGCCGGCCAGCCCAGGCCCACGCTTGGCCCTTCATGGTGTCCCTGCAGCGACGTGGAGGTCACTTCTGTGGTGCCACACTCATCGCCAGGAACTTCGTCATGTCCGCAGCCCACTGCGTGAATGGCCTGTGAGTCCCCTCTCTATCCTTCCCCTCCCAGCCCTCAACGTCCACGTGGGCCAGGGTGGGCGGTCAGGTGGGGACTCCCACCCATGACCCTTTCCTCTCCGCTGTCCATAGGAACTTCCAGTCCGTGCAGGTCGTGCTGGGGGCCCACAACCTGCGGCGGCGACAGGAGCCCACAAGACAGACCTTCTCTGTGCAGCAGATCTTCGAGAACGGCTTCGACCCCACGCGTCTGGTGAACGACATCGTGATCCTCCGGGTGGGCTTGGGAGTCCGGGAGCCATGAGGTTCGGGCTGGAGGAAGATGCCATGCAGAAGGGTCTGGGGGTGGAGGAGACAGGGACACCCTGGGGCAGCTGCAGTTACCACCTGAGCCTGCTTCCAGCTCGGCACAGTGGAGAGTAGCCGTCCTGTGGGCCCCATGGCAAAGACTCTTGTGAGCTAATGTACGGAACGCTCCGGGCAGTATTCAATCAACAAACTCCTCTTGTCTGGGCTCTCCCCCCACTGACCCTGCCGCTCTGCAGAACCCGGGGAAATACTCATTTCTTCCTCCAGTTCCCAAGCTTTCCCACCACTTGGTGGCGGGGTATTCAGGGACGTGGTGACGGTCCTTGTGGAATGCGCCCTGTGACTCATGTTTTAAGTCTCGCCCGCCATCCCTCCCCGCAGCTCAATGGCTCAGCCACCATTAACGCCAACGTGCAGGTGGCCCAGCTGCCTGCCCAGGGCCGTGGCGTGGGTAACGGAACTTCATGCCTGGCCATGGGCTGGGGCAGGCTGGGCACCAACCGACCGTCACCGAATGTGCTCCAAGAGCTCAATGTGACCGTGGTGACGAACTTCTGCCGCCGCCGTTTGAATGTGTGCACGCTGGTGCCAAGGCGGAGAGCAGGCATCTGCTTCGTAAGTACCCGTTTGCAGCAGAGGGGATGGTGGTCAGACCCGAGGGAGGACTTCCCAGTGCTGGAACATGAGTAACGGGGAGCCTAGAGGTCCCATCTCTGACCTTGACACCTTCACAGGGGGACTCTGGAGGACCCTTGGTCTGTAACGGGCTTGTCCAAGGCATCGACTCCTTCATCCGTGGAGGCTGCGGGTCTGGACTGTACCCAGATGCCTTCGCACCTGTGGCTGAGTTCGCAGACTGGATCAATTCCATTATCCGCAGGCATGACGACCACCCCCATACCCACCCCAGAGACCCCGAGAGCAGGACTGTCTAGGACCTGCCTGCCCCCCAATGCTGTCAGCCTAAGCTGCTTGTGGCAGCCGTCAATAAAAGCAACATTTCCTTTGTACACTGGGTCTGGTGTTTGTTGACTGTGCCACAGAACTTAGAATGCTACCACTGCCTTGTGAGGGGCACCTGCGGACTTGGCCACCCAGTTGGCGGGGCAAAGTCACAGCAGGAGGCATGTACAAAAGGATGTCAGTGAGGTGGCCCTTTTTGGTTTCTGTTCCCCAAAACCCACATTCAGCTAGGTCTCAGCACTCAGGACACTGAGGCAGCAGGATTGCCATGAGTTTGACGACAGCCTGGCCTAAGAGTGAGCGTCTGCTGCTCCTGTAGGGGACCTGGGTTCCCACATGGTGGCTCACAACTACCTATAGCCCCCATTCCAGGGGACTCGACACCCTTCTCTGGACTCTGGGCACCAGGCATTCACATGAACACACCCCCCCCCCCCCCCCGCGCGCGTGCGCGCACATAATTAAGAATAATTTGCGGACGTCCTTCCCACGCTCTGTATCTTACAATCTGATTTTAAGATTGATTACTCTGCTGGGTGGCGGTGACGCACGCCTTTAATTCAGCACATGGGAGGCAGAGGCAGGCGGATCTCTGTGAGTTCGAGGCCAGCCTGGTCTACAGAGCGAGTTCCAGGACAGGCTCCAAAGCTACACAGAGAAACTCTGTCTTTAAATCTAATGAACTAACAACCCAGGGCTGGTGAGGCGGCATAATGGGTGAAGGTGCTTGCCCCGAAGCCTGAGGAGCTGAGTTCAATCCCTGGAACTGCACAGTGGAAGGACAAGGAGGAAATGTGGGAACGTTCCCCAGCGAGCCACCACATAGTACACAGACACAATGAAATAAATAAAGCATGCAGATGAATAATAAAAACCAGAAACGATCCACTTTCCCACTGGATTGGAGCAGTAGACGCCATAGCTCTGTCCCAGGCGGCCCCTACATGGCCTCCTCTATCTCAGTCACCCCACCCTCTCCCTGTCCACCCTCCTCCAGCCATACCCCACTCCCGCCGGGACAGGGTTCCAAGTCTGTGGAAGTTCAAAGTTGTTTGCTGAAGTGTCCTGACCCTGGGTGGTCACCAAATTTTTTTTATTTTTTACAAGTTCTCGGGTTCCTTTTTGCACAATCTGGATTCTGTCCTAAAGGGCTTCTGATTTTTGTTTTGTTTTTGAGACAGGGCCTCACTCTGTAGCCTAGACTGGCCTCAAACTCACAGAGATTCTTCTGCCTCTGCCTCCCGAGTGCTGGGGTTGAAAGCCTCAGCTGCCCAGGTGGCTTCTGATTTTAATAAGGAGACTCCTGGGTTCTGACCTCACATCTGCAACATCAGGTCATCCCCAAAGAGAGAACCTAATGCTCCAACAGGGAGTGGTGCGCTGAGCCCCCCACTCTCCCCACCCTCCTTGTCCCAACCCCTCCCCTCCAGAACCCACCCTATGGATTAGCTTGGGGGGAGCCTCTGACCTAGGCTCAGTCAGCCAAGGCATTGATTAACACGAGGGTCAGATTTTACTGGGAGGGTCCCTGAACCTCAACAGGGAACAGCCTGGTGAAGACAAGGCTGCACCTGGATCAAGCCATACCGGAAGGCAAAATTCACAGGCTTTCCTTTTCAGTTCCTCATGGCCGCACTCTGAAGGGGTGTCAGACCCCCACAGCCACAGCAGTGAGGACCCAGGATTCTCTCCTCCTAGCAGACAACCTTTGCTCCAAATGTGAGGAGTCGAGTTACCTTCCCCCACTGGCAAACAACCTCTGCAAGTTGGAGGAGGAAGTATGGGAGGGTAAAAAGATGGGGAGATGTTTGCCCATCGGCCGGCCTCCTGCTGAAGCGATTGCGACACCGCGTTGGAAGGACACTTACTGGGCCAGGGCGCTGGGCGGTCCAGCCTCTCACCCAGGCCACGTGCTGTGACCTTCAGGCACTGGCCAGGGCCCCAGGCAGGAGGGAGAGGAAGGGTCCCGGTGGACCTGGCAGGTTTACGCACTCGGTCCCAGAAGGGCCGACACACTCAAATCTGAAAGCGCAGATCCCCAGGTCCCGAGCTGGGTCTCTGCCCACGGGAAAGGGAGGGGCGCGAGGCTCCTGCCCCATAAAAATAGCTCCCGGGGACTCGCCTGGGTCAGTGTCTGGACTCATCGGCGTCCAAATGCGCAGCTGTGCGTGCCCCGTGGCCCTGGTGCTCCTGGGGGCGGCTGTATGTGGTGAGTGGGCCGGGAGGGGCAGCGGGGATACAGCAGCGGGCGCCGGGGGAGTGGGGGGTGTTCCAAACCCGGCATCTGCGGTCTGAGCCTCCCGGACTCTGAGCTTTTACCAACAGCAAGAATCTGGGTTTGAATTCGCACCGGGGCCAGCAAGAAGGGTTAACTGGTAAAGGGGCTTGGGGTCAAGACTGAAGACCCGAGCTTGATCCCCTGGACCCATGTGGTGAAGGAAGAGAAGTTATTCGCTGCAAGATGACTTCCGGCTGCGGCAGGTTCACTGTGGTCTTGAGGAGCGTGCACCACCCACCAGGCTTCTGAGTTTGCGACCCCCCCCCCCCAGAAGCGTATTTTACAGTGATGGGGTTCTGGGTCTCGAGCAAACGGGGGGCGGGGCAGGGAGGTGTCTGGGGTCTCTCCGGGTGCAGCCCGCCCTGATCCTTACAGTGCACCCACCCTCCTCAGCTGCCCAGCCCCAAGGCCGGATCCTGGGTGGCCAGGAGGCCAATGCTCATTCCTATCCCTACATGGCTTCGGTGCAAGTGAACGGCACACACGTGTGCGGTGGCACCCTGGTGGATGAGCAGTGGGTGCTGAGCGCCGCGCACTGCATGGACGGAGTGTGAGTGGCGGGGTGGGGAAGCGGGGGGAGCGGGGCCTCGGGGGCGGGGGCACGTGGATCTGAGGTGGGCCCTCGTCCTGTCCCCAGGACCGCGGATGACATCCTGCAAGTGCTCCTGGGTGCCCACTCCCTGTCGAAGCCTGAACCCTCCAAGCAGCTGCACGACGTGCAAAGCGTAGTGCGTCACCCGGGCAGTGGGCCCGACCGCATCGTGCACGACATTGCCCTCTTGAAAGTAAGGAGTCTGGGTCCTTCCTACCCCCTGGGTTCCACTCAGGGTCTAGCCTCGACTCTTCCTTCGGCACCGCCACCCCAGTCCGTTTCCCAGCGCTGCCCCCTTCCGTGACTTGACCCTCCTCTCAATGCTAGCTGACCCAGAATGCCTCGCTGGGCCCCCACGTGCAGCCCCTGCCCTTGCAAGAGGAAGACCGAGAGCTGGCCCCCGGAACGCTCTGCGAAGTGACCGGTTGGGGTGTGGTCAGCCACGCGGGGCGCAGGCCCGACGTCCTGCAGAAGCTGACAGTGCCGATCATGGACCGGGACACATGCAATCTGCGGATGCATCACGACGGGGCGGTCACCCAGGACATGATATGTACAGAGAGCCACCGCAGGGACAGCTGCAGGGTGAGTGGCGCGGCCGGGTCAAGTGGTGTGGGTGGGTGGGGCCCGCGGGTCTGCAGAGGCCAGCGAGGGGCGTGGCTTGCAGGAAGAGTGGGCACGTCACTCGTGGCCCCGCCCCACAGGGCGACTCCGGAGGTCCTCTGGTGTGCGGGAACGTGGTCCAGGGTGTTGTGGCGTGGGGCTCGCGGGTCTGTGGAAACCGCAGGAAGCCGGGCGTCTATACCACAGTGGCGTCTTACGTGGCCTGGATCAGAAATGTCACCAACGATGACTTGATGGGCTGAGGGGATTCCCGGAGACACGTGTCTCACAATAAATGCATGCATCTGAGCCCTGTGCGTCTTTATTGAGCGCCTGCTGCACACACACCCGGGAGACTGAAGGCAGGTAGTTCCGCGCTCGGCCACACGGAGGCGCGCGTGCTCTTTCGGGGAACCGTGGGGCGGGGCCCAAACCTACCCTACAGAGGTCCTGCTGCGCCCAGGACCATCGTCTGGGCTCAGACAGCATTGCCAAGACGCTCCGAAGTTGCCATAAATACTAAAAGGGGAAACTGAGGCACAGAGAGGCCCCCAGAGCCCATACTGGTTCACTGAGGAGGGAGTTGGTGAGCTGTGGAGTCAACACCCCAGGTCCCCTCCTGGCTACAACGGGCAGAACCTAGACCCACACCCTGTGCCTTTCTACCCGGAGGGCAGGGACAGTGGGGGTCTGAGAAGGGAAGCCCCAGCTGTTCCCTCAGGACGCGATTTCAATGCCATTTGTCTCCCAGTCCCAGGGTGCGTCACATGTAAACATCTGAACAAACGCATTTTCCCCAGATGGCCTGGCATTCACTAACACACATGGTCAGCACTCTGCAGAGAGTGGGTGGGAGCAGCCATGCAGGGCCAGGGAGGGGGAAGGGAGCTCATGCAGGGGGGCCGCTGTTACCCCAGGGACCATGCTCTGGCCACAGGAAGTCAAGGATGGCTTGAGCAAGGCCGGGATGCCCCACACCACACTGTTGGCTTCTGTTGGCAGAGGCAGTACCCAGGGCCAGTGGGCATCCCAGGGAAGTCACAGAACCCTGAAGGGGACACACCAGTCTCCCAGGCTCCTCGGGATGTGCAGAATGTTCCAGAAGGGAACTGGGAATAGGCACACGTGCCTGCTATCCCAGCACTCAGGAAGTAGACACAGGAGAATCAGGAGTTCAAAGTCATCCCCAGCTACATATCAAAACGTGGGGGAGTAAAGGGGGTTCCAGGTTGGGGGACCCCACTGGCCCCTCACAGGCTGCGTCAGAGCACGGTCTGTCCTCTGGAGCCAACACCCCACGGTCTGACCCTCCCCAGGCTGGGTCATGTGTGGCCACTGCCCTGTACTCTGCTCCACAGGGTTCCAGAAATAATAAAACCAGTTACCGTGATCCTGGGGCCTGGGCCTGGCTGCCTGTGACTGCGCGGGCAGATGCAGAAGCTTGAAGGCAGGGCCCCTGGGGACCACAGCAAAGGCTGCTGGGAACCAGGGTGTGGGAGGCAGGGGAGGCCGCTGTGCCGCACACTCGGGCACACCTCAGCACAGAGCCTGACCTGGTGGGCAGCAGTGGAGGGAGCCGTGGGGACAGCACAAGCCTGGAGGCAGTGCAAGAGAACTTTATTGGGCCCGCCCTCCACGCCCACAGTCCCCAAAGGGAAACTGAGGGAGACAACCCCAACCTGGACAGGGGCATATGGACTGTGGCCCTTTTGAAGGGTGGACACACAGCCCAGCTCCTTCAGAATGGCCTGGGTGTGACCATGGGACGTTAGGCCCTGAAGGTGGCACATGCCTTGTGTCCCCAGAGGGACAGACCCGGGGCGGCTGGCTGAGGACACAAGGTTCCATCACAGAAGGCCCCCTGCGTCTGCTCAGAGCATGGCGCTGTGTCGGGGTCGGCCGAGGGGCGCTGTCTCGGGGACAGCCAAGGGGCGCTGTCTCGGGGACGGCCGAGGGGCGCTGTCTCAGGGTCGGCTGAGGGGCACCCTCCGCCACAGCCCCCCACACAGGCAGTTCTTGATCCACCGCTGCTCCCACTGCTTCACGGCGGTCGTCTTGTTGGGAGACTTGAGCATGGTGACGCAGCCACACCTGGGGAGCAGGGACAGCTGCTACTCTCCTGACCCTCCCACGACCCTACCCGCCTCTGCCCTGCGCCCACGTGCCTCCAGAAATACTGTTGCCTGCAGTGGTGCAAGATGGTACACCCCAAACCCTGGGCACCCCCAAACCACACACACCCAGGGCCTCCTGAAGCTGTGTCTGTGGCCGGGAGGGAAGCAGAGGGGCCCTGGGCCTGGCCGGCAGCGCTCACCTGGTGCAGGCTTTGCATTCCTCAGTCGGGTACGCACCCAGGTGCAGCCTCCGCAGGTGGTCGATCTTGGGCTGGCCAGGGGCCCTGGGGAGGAGACGGGAGTGAGGGGATGTGGGGGGCTGTGTCCACAGCACCATGTTAGCCGGCAGCAAAGCGTGGCTTCTGGTGTGTGACCCCAGGGCTCAACCATAAAAACAGCCGATGGCCTTTTCCTGATGAGATAGGAGCAGAGTTTCTAGAACCTTCCAAACATGGCTAAATATGGGCCAACGGGACAGCGTACACACAGGAGGGGGCAGAGGCCTCACTGAGACCAGGGCATTGCTCACTGGGGGTGAGAGCTGGCCTGGCCTGGCCTGGGCCAGGCTGCAATGCAGCTCCACAAATCCTACACCCAAAGCTGTGCACTCAGAGCTGGAGGCAGGAGGATCAGAGTTCAAGGCCACCCTCCTCCCACACAGGGAGTCTGGGGCAAGCCTGGGCTACATGAGACGAAACCCAAACACCTCTATGCATACAGCAGCGGCTGGAATGCCACCCAGTTCTCTCTCACGGCAGAGACCTGGTGAAACAGAACTCGGTCCTTAGACACCCCAGGCTCCAGGAGGTGCTGGACCCCCCCTCACACCCCCCCCCCCGAGAGAACCTGTGGTGTGGGGACCTTCAGGGCTGCAGAGCTTGAGGGGAAGGAGGGACGGACGACGGGCACACCTGGCGAGGCCATCCAGCTGCAGGGTGGAGGTGCTGCTTGGCAGAGTGGGCGCCCTGCCGAAGCGCAGGCGCAGGGGCTGTTTGGGCTGCAGGCGGCTGACCAGGCCGTCGCTGGCAGGAAGCCAGTCCAGGTTGGGGACCAGCAGCTGGCTGGGCAGCAGGCAGCACTCATCCACCAAGCCCTCGTCAGGTTCACTGGCTGGGCCCTCGTCACGGCCTAGGGGAGGGGATGGAGGTCACTGCACTCAACAGCCTCCCTGGGAAGCCACTTCCTCACCCACACGGCACCCACGGCAGCCTCCCTGGGGCTCTGCCCTCTGACATCTCGGGCCCACGCCACGTGCTGGGGAAGTGGTGAGAGGCCTCCACTCTGGCGCTGTGCTGGGCCTACAGCTGTATTTTGTTGGGAAGGCGTAAGCAGAGGGCAGTGTCTCACAGCAGATCCACAGCTTGGTGAGCAGCCGGAAGAGCAGGGACATGCTGTCCTGGGTGTCCGAGGTGGCTGTGTAGACCGGCAGGCAGCTGGGCTTCAGCAGGCCCCAGATGCGGATGACAACCATCAACTCTCGCAGCATGCCCAGGGAGGTTCCGTCCCGGAGGAAGCTGTGCCCTGGCCTCAGCGGGGAGCCCTGGGGTGGGGGGGACACTGGGAGTGAGCAGCCCCAGGGCTGCTGTGGGTGGGTATGTGCCAGTCACCAGCTAACCCTTGACCCTGGGTGAGGCCTGGGGACAGTGTGGCCTTCACCACAGGGGTACGGCTGGTGCGGAGTCGGGGGAGGACAGAACTGCTCAGTGCCCTACAGCCAAGAGTGGTCGGAAACGACCAATCCGGGGTCTGCGGTGCTGGCAGGGACCTGGTGGACGCCAGCGCAGGTCAGCGCGGCTGTCTTTACCTCCCACAGAACCCAGGAAGCCGGGGCTTGACCTGTGACCCCGTAGCCTGGAGGCCCTCAAGGCTAGAAGCCTCAGATGACCTGGGATAGACGGGGAGGCCGAGTCACCCGCAGGGGGGGCAGGAGCACGCCCTAGGCAGACAGGAGCCAAGGAGTGCGCCTCAGCAGAAGAAAGGACGCACCAGCGCCCACCGTAACAGAGGCCGGGGCTGAAGACCCGGAAAGCGAAGGGGCGGGGCCGGGGCGGGGGGCGGGGCCGGGGCGGGGCTCACCCGGTTGGGCAGGCTGGCCAGGGGGCGGGGCCGACGCGGGGGGGGCGTGGCCCACCTGGTTGGACAGGCTGGCCGGGGGCGGGGCCGACGCGGGGGGGGGCGTGGCTCACCCGGTTGGGCAGGCTGGCCGGGGGCGGGGCTGACGCGGGACTCACCTGGTTGGACAGGCTGGCCGGGGGCGGGGCCGACGCGGGGGGGGCGGGGCTCACCCGGTTGGGCAGGCTGGCCGGGGGGCGGGGCCGACGCAGGGGGCGGGGCTCACCCGGTTGGGCAGGCTGGCCGGGGGCGGGGCTGACGCGGGGGCGGGGCTGACCTGGTTGGGCAGGCTGGCCGGGGGCGGGGCCGACGCAGGGGGCGGGGCTCACCCGGTTGGGCAGGCTGGCCGGGGGCGGGGCCGACGCGGGGGCGGGGCTCACCTGGTTGGGCAGGCTGGCCAGGAGGTAGAGCACGAAGTCCCCCACCCACTGAAGCAGCTGCTGCAGCGCCTGCAGAGTGTTCATGTCCAGGACAAACTCCTCTGTCTTCAGGTTGATCATGACCTTGTCAATGTCTGTGGGGACGGTGAAGGGTGGTCAGGGAACATGGGGCAACCTGGCTCTGCAGGAAGGACTATCACACAGCCGTGAAAAGCACGTGATCTACCACAAGGCCGAGCCCCGACGGCACTGACGCTGTCTGAGACGCTGTGGCACAGCGACAGCCCTCAACCTGCTATGGCGCCAAGGACGGCGCTGGACCCTCATGTTCAGGCAGCACCACATCTGGTTTACACCGGATAGGTGATCTGCCACCTGGCCATACCTCAAACCCAACCAACACTAAGGTTATGAAGGCTGCACGTTCTTGGGCTCAGGTCAGGGCTGGGCACCTCCCCAGCACCCGCCTCGGGGGCTGGTGTTGGATTCAACGGTCACCACGAGCCTCGCCCTTTACACATGGGGAAGGAAGGCCCTACACCCACCAACGTCAGTGATCTTGGCGCAGATCTCAGCCAGGCGGTCCCCGGGGCTCTTGTCAGGGGTGTTGAGAAAGTGTGGGCGCAGCAGGGACTTGAGAGTGGATGTGATGGCCATGAGGAACAGCTTGGTGTGGTAGTCACACACGCGGGCCACCGTGCAG